AGTGCTGCCCCAAATGCTAGAAGTGGGCTGGGGACACTAGGCCGCCAACCTTCTCTGAACTTTGATGTGTTGTCTTTTGTCAGCCTCTCCTTCTGCCCAGCAGTATCTCGCACACAGATTTCTCAGCCTTGACTCCATCTAGGTTTAGAAACGCCAGGGCTATAGCAGCAGGTTGGGTAGTGTTGGGCAGCAGCCACAACACCTCCCCCTCCCCGCTCTGCCTGGTTTCCTGCTCACTTATATAACATTCCTGGTACATGAGTCCTCGGTAGCCTTCTCCCCAGCAACCTTTCTGGATTTTCTGCATTTCCCACAAAGCCTGTGCTCCTAAAGAAACCCCGGGAACACTACTCTGCTTCCAAACCAACACATTTTTCCCCTTAAACCAAATAAAACACTCCAAGGGTATCACCTGCCCTTCAGGTGATGTGTGCCAAATTGATACCCTTCTGACTTAGCCACTCACTTGGAGTGAACATGATGCTATGACAAGAGCCAAAAGCATACCGAGTTTGTATCTGTTGTCTTCACATGGTGTCTATAGCACCCAACCCCTCATCAGATGGAATTCAGGAACCAGCTGAAGGCAGGACTCAGATTGCACCAGCAATCTGTAGTCAGTCACTCCTCCTTGCCACCCTATCAGGCTCTTTCATTTATTCTGAAGTTAGAGCTAACTAGAGTGTCAGTAACTCCATGAACTGTCAAAGCAAATGTCCTCAGTTTTGCAGCAGCCTACCTGTTCAGCCTTAACCTTTTTCAGAAAACTTGAAATCAAAAAGTACATCTGACAGTTTCCTGTGACACATGCGGCTTAGCCTCCATCTCCAAATGCCTCCCTGCCACCCACCCTCCAAGGCCCTGTGCAAGTACCACCTTCTTCCATCCCTACCTCAAGATCACCAGTCTAAATGCCACCACTCCCCCAGAGGCAGTTAAACAACACTAAAACCAAGTGTGTCCATTTGTCTTTGTATAGTGTATAGTCAGAACTCTTGGGCACATGGGAGGGGCTCGGGGAATAAGTTCTGAGTTCCAGTTCCTTCACAGCAGGCACACGTGATCAATATTATTCTATTCCTGCTGTTTTATTCCAAGTGTTATTCACATGTGCATACTTTTTTTTTTACTATTTTATTTTGGGGGGGGGGGTTTTTTTGAGACAGGGTCTCCTTGTAACCCCAACTGTCCTGGAACTCACTGTGTAGACCAGGCTGTCCTCAAACTCACAAAGATCAGCCTGCCTTTTCCTCTCAAGTGCTGGGATTAAAGATGTATGCCACCATGCCTGACATGACCATATTTGAAATATGTATTTGTATATCTAAATACATCTGATATACATAGATATCATTTGTTTAACATTTAGCTCTTCTCCTTGTAGCCCCAGCTGTCCTGGAACTCACTATGTAGACCAGGCTGGCCTTGAACTGAAGAGATCCGCCTGCCTCTGCCTCCCAAGTGCTGGGATTAAAGGCATGCACCACCAAGCCCCGGCATATTGTTTTTATTTTATGTGTATGCATGTATTGCCTGCATGTAGGTAAGCACACCCGTGTTGTGCAGTGCCCGCGAAGGTCAGAAGAGACTTTGTATCCACTGGAACTGGAGTTATAGACAGTTGTTAGCTGCCATGTAGGTGTGGGGATAAGAACAATCAGTGTTCTTAACTGCTGAGCTATCTCTCCAGCCAAGTGTGCGCACTTTGTGCTCCCTTTATCAGCAGTATCAAAGGTCTTATCCCTTCTTCTGGATGGAAAGCCCACACAAGGGCATAAAACAGATACACATGCTTCATGATACAGTGGGCTACAGATACAACTTCGCAACTGAAATGGAACTAACCTCTAAGACTTGCCTATTCAAGAAAAGAGAACTGGGTGTGGTAGTTTATGCTGGCAATCCCAACACCCAGAGGCCGAGACAGGAGAATTACCATGAAGTTGAGGCCAGCCTGGGCTCCACCATGAATTTTAGGCCAACGTGGGCCACAGAGTGACACCATCTCAAACAACCAAAAAAAGCATAAAGGGGGCTGGAGAGATGGCTCAGTGGTTAAGAGCACTGGTTGTTCTTGCAGAGGACCTGGGTTTGATTCCCAACACACACATGGTGGCTAACAAACCTTCTGTAACTCCAGTTCCAGGGGAATCTGACACCCTTTTCAACACGGGTATACCTAACTACAGGCAGATTTGCAGGCAGATCTCTGTGAGATGGAGGCCAGCCCGGTCCACATAGTGAGTTCCAGGCTCTCTGGGGCTATAGGCCTTGTGCTTGCTAGGTAAGCTCTGTACCACTGAGCTAAATCATCAGCCCACTAGCATCCTTAAAACAGCATTAAACCAGACAGGGTGGCTCCCATTTGTAATACCAGCATTCAGGAAACAGAGGCAGAAGGAATACCGTGAGATTGAGGCTAGTGTGGGCTACATAGTGAGTTCTGGGCTAGCATGGGCCACATAATGGGACAATGTCTCAAAAGCCAAATTAATGAATGAGACAACATAATTAAAAGCTTAGGGGACTAGAGGGATGGCTCAGTGGTGAAGAGCACTTGCTGTTCTTACAGAGGATCTGAGTTCAATTTCTAACTCTCACATCAAGCAGCTAACAACTGCCTCAAGTCCAGCTCTAGAGAATCCAATGTCCTCTTCTGTCCTCTAAATAAATTGAAATAAAAGTTCAGTTTGGTGTGTTATAAAGGATGTTACTGTGATCTATAGTTCTCTCAGTCAAAACAAACAACAGTTCTGAAATTAAAAAGCTACCTCAAGGGCTAACAAGATGGCTCAATGGGTAAATCACTTAAAACTGAGCCTGAGACTCAGTTCAATCCCTGGGATCTGTGGTAGAGAAAGAGAACCAACTCTTGCAGGATGTCCTCTGACCTTCACTCAGGCACCCTGGTACAGGCACTTAAACACACATGTGTACTCACTCATACACATACACACACACACACACACACACACACACACATACACACAAAATAACTAAAAATAATAAAAACTAGAATTTTAAAATCCCACCTATTTTTTTTTTTTTTTTTTTTTTTTTTTTCTTTTTGAGACAGGGTCTCCCTGTAGCCCCAGCTATCCTGGAACTCACTATGTAGACCAGGCTGGCCTTGAACTCACAGAGCTCCACCTGCCTCTCCCTCCCAAGTGCTGGGATTAAAGGCGTGTGCCCCCACACCCGGCAGTCCCACCTAATTTTTATAGCAACTTTGATAATATCACCTATAAAACAGAAAAGTGGGCTGGGAAAAAAGAAGCCCTGACACAAAGAGAAAGCTAAGCAAGAAACAGCAGACCGCTTGCATGAGGCTGAGGGACCACACTCAGGACAAAGGAACTAGAAATGGCAGTAGGGGCAAATGGATGAATATTTAAGTACTTCCACGTCACTATTTTCAAATAGTTGCTCTGCCTCAACATTTATGTTGACTATGTGGCATCTGACCAAGAACAAAAGCCAGTAATTAAACAACTCAAACAAGTTATTCAAATAACAAAATTAACAAATAAATAAATAGGGGGCCAGCAAAATGGCTCAGCACATAGAGGTGTTTGCTGCCAGTCCTCACAACCTGAGTTAAGATTCCCAGGACCTACATAGCGGAAGGAGAGAACTGACTCTCAAACAGTGTCCTTTGACCTCCCACATGTGTGCTATGGTGCACACACACACACACACACACACACACACACACAAGTGTAATAAAAAATCAAAAATAAAATAATAGAGCCGGAATAGTGGTGCCTTTAATCCCAGCACTTGGGAGGCAAGTGGATCTCTGTGAGTTCAAGGCCAGCCTGGTCTATTTAGCGAGTTCCAGGCAAGCTGGAGCTACAGGGAGATCCTGTCTCAAAAGAAAAGAAAGAGAGAAAGAAAAGATCAAAAAAAGGTATTAAAATATGAGTATAATATTCTATAAACATAGTCAATATGGTACAAGCAAAGCCTGGGTTCCAGCCTCAACATACATGCCAAGAAAAAAAATGTCATTAATCTTTTGACAATGTAACAGGGCAAAAAAATTTTTTTTAATTTTTTTAACAATACTAAGGATGGAACCCAGGGTCCCATGCATGTGTTCTCCCACCCAACTATGTCCCTAGCCTTCCTTACACTTATTATTTTGAGACATGGCTTCATGAAGTTGCCCAGGCTAGCTATAAACTTACTCTGTAACCCACTCTGGCTTCAATTTGTAATCCTCATGCCTTAGCCTCCTTAGTAGCTGGGATTGCAGGTCTATGCCACCAGGCCAAGTACAGTTTATATTTTGCAATACCAGGTATCAAAATCAGCCCTGGCTGATTTAGGCTGTCACTTTTTGTTGCTGTTTATTTTTGAAACAGGATCTCACTCTGTATCTGAAACTGGCCTTTAACTTTTGTGGATCCTCCTGCCTCAGGGTCTCAAGTACAAGAGATACCGGCATGAACCAGGACACCCAGCTTCTAAATTACTTTCAGTATTTAGAATTTGCCTTTCCTCTAGAATGGCAAAGAATTTAAATCTCATATTATTAAATACATAAATTGAGATTTCAACTTAATATTAATAAAACAGTATATAAAAGTACGGATTTTGTAACAGTTAACATTAAATAAATTGCAAGTATATTAGTGTCACAAGAGAGAATCACTATGTGATTGACTACTTCATCTAAAATAGCCCCACAGAAAGCATGCTATTGGCTCATGTTACTCCTCTGCGACAATAACAGGCCACTTCCAAGTTACTGATAGGACAGTGCTAGTTATCCACCAAACTCAATGGAAATGCCATGTCATCTCACTAAGATGGTCTTCTGGCAGACATGAAGTTTGACAACTGAATCATGACATTCATCAAAGTACCTGGCAGGTTCATAGGACACACTTTTTTTTTACTTTAGACAGAGTCAAGTAGCCTAGGCTGGCTTCAAACTCATGGTGATCACTTTGCATCAGCTGAGTACCCAACCCGGCTAGAACGCTCTATAAACTTAGCAAATTAAGATGCACAACTAGATTCCTTTCCTCATGGGGACCTGGTGTGCAACGACTGTGAATATCAGCATCCTTAGTAGTATATGCAGCCCGTTGCTTGCATATATATAAATATAAATATATAAATATTTAAATATAAATATATATATTTTAAATATGTCTCAATAAATATAGAAAAATTAAAATAACATCTTGCATTCTACCTGACCACAAAGCTGTGAAGCTGCATATCAACAGCAACAGAAACCACAGAAAGTATGCTGGGAATCGAACCCAGGTCCTCTGCAAGAGCAGTCAGTGCTCTAACCATTTAGCCATTACTCCAGCCTCCATAAAAGGATTTTTTTTGGAGGGAGGGGGCGGGTCTTTTTGAGACAGGGTCTCCCTGTAGCCCCAGCTGTCCTGGAACTCACTACGTAGACCAGGCTGGCCTTGAACTCACAGAGATCTGCCTGCCTCTGTGTCCTGAGTGCTGGGCGTGTGCTACCACGCCCGGCCATAAAAGGATTTTTTTAAAAAAGGATGCAAGCCAGGCACGGTGGCAAATGCCTTTAATCCCAACATTCGGGAGGCAGAGGCAGGTGTATCTCTGTGAGTTCGAGGCCAGCCTGGTCTCCATAGCGAATCCAGGCCAGCTAGGGCTACAGAAAGACCCAGTCTCAAAAAGACCAAAAAAAAAAAAAAAAGGATGCAAGAGCTAAAATAACTGAACTTAGGTTCTAGAAAGTTAAAAAGAAAAAAATAAAAAAATCAATAAATCTTTTAGAAACAAATACCAGAAAAACTAAACAGATTACTATTTTGAAACTATCAACAAAATTGATAAATCCCTAACCAAACTTATCAAGAGAAAACACATAAGAAATGAAAGGGGTACAGCATTAAAATAGGAATTTGGGGTTCTGGGTTTTTTTTCTTTTTTCTCTCCTGACAGAATCTTACTACGAAACCCTGGCTAGCCTGAACTCTCTATGTAAATAAGGCTGATCTTGAACTTGTAGTGATTCTTCTGCCTCTGCCTTACCAATGTTGAGATTACAGGTATGAGCCACCACACCTAGCAATAAAGAAATGAAGAAGTATTGTTATTGTTTAAAATTGTTTTGAGGTTTTTTTAAAAAAAAAATATATAGATAGATAGATAGATAGATAGATAGATAGATAGATAGATAGATATAGTGATTGAGTGTATTGCCTGCCTGTGTGTAAGTACACCCATGTCATGCAATGCCCATGAAGGTCAGAAGGTGTTGGATCCCCTAGAACTGGAGTTAGAGAGAGTTGTTAGTCGTCATGTGGGTGCTGGGAATGGAACCCAGGTCCTCTGCAAGAGCAATCAGTGCTTTTAATCGCTAAGCCATCTCTCCAGCCCAAGTTGTTTTTTTAATGTAGTATTTTGACTGCATGTATATTAAGTATACCCATGCATGCAATGCCCACAGAAGCCATAAGAGGGCACAGGATCCCCTGGAACTGGAAGTATAGATGGTTGTTAGCAGCCATGGGAACCAAATCTCTACAAAAACAACCAGTGTTCTTCTTAATGGCTGAGCCATTTCTCCAGCCCCCAAAGGAATACTGTTAAGACAGAAAAGTATTATTGGAAAAGCCTTTCTGAAAAAATATGCAATCAAAGTAGAAGCAAAAGGATATACTTAAAAAACAAGACTAAGTTAATTCTAAACACAAACCTTCAACAGTAGAAACCTCTTGTAATTCAGCAAGGGGAGATGCCAATTCTGTTTTCATAGTGTTTTCTCCCATGGACTTGCAATTTAATTCCAAGCCTGTAGTCCCCAATCCATCCCCAAGGGAGTGGCAAGTTAACACAGATGAGACCTGGTCAGCTTTCAAAGGAGATGTCAACTGACCTAAAGAGAGAAAAAAAAGAAAGCCTGGGAAACACATACATATACAATCAGGAAGTCAAAAGTCCCAAAACAGATTAGAAAGCCAGAGACTGCTTAGAGGACAACTTATAAGAATGCATTTCAGAAGGCTGAAGAGGTGGCTCAGTGGTTAAGAGCACTGGCTGGACCCAAGGTGTTTGTTCAGGACCCACCCAAGGTGTTCATTGTTCCTGCACCCACATGGGAGCTAACAACTGTCTATAACTGCAGTTCCAGGGGATTCAACACCCTCTTCTGGCTTCTGCAAACACTGCATACACATGGTGCACTTATATACATGCAAGCAAAAGATTCATACACATAAAATAAAAATTAAAAAATTTTAAAGAATAAAATAAAGGAAGAAAACAATGCCTTCCCAGATTCTAGCAGACATCCCTTATCGCCAGGGTATGAGCACCTCAAAGAACAAGATTACAGTGATAAAAGGTCAGCAAAAAGTTCATACTGAGTGAGATGGCATGAGAAGGCAGAGAAGCAAGGTTCCTTGAGCAGTGTGCCTTCAATCCAACATGCATGAGCAAATGTAACCACAAATGCATACGGAAACCACCAGGGAAGAAAAATATTTTATCAGAACCCTGTAGCACCTTCAATTGTTTCATTTCAATACAATTTAACAAAGAGCTGGAAAGAAGGCTGAGTACCGTTCTTGAAGAAGACCTGAGCTCAGTTCCCAGTCCCCTTGTTGGGTGGTCTACGACCTCCTATAACTGCAGCTCCAAAGGGACCTCTTCTGGACTCTGTGGGCACCTGCACTCACATGTACAAATCCCCACATATATATACACATAAATTTTTTTTTTTTGGTCTTTTTGAGACAGGGTCTCCCTGTAGTCCCAGCTGACCTAAACTCACTATATAGACCAGGCTGGCCTTGAACTCACAGGAATCCACCTGCCTCTGCCTCCCGAGTGCTGGGATTAAAGGCCCATAATTTTTAAATTTAAACCACGCCCATAATTTTTAAAAATCTTCAATATAGGAACTGAAGAGGTAGCTCAGCTTTACTTACAGAAATCAATACACAAGGATTAAGAATGGTCCTCAAGACATAGTGGCACATGCCTTTATTAATCCCAGCAACTTAGGAGGCAGAGGCAGGCAGATCTCTTTGAGTTCGAAGCTAGCCTGGTCTACATAGGGAGTTCCAGGCAAGGTGGGGCTACAGGAAGACCCTGTCACAAAAATTTAAAAAAAAAAAAGGATGGTTCTCAGGAGACAGGCACCAGGCTGGCCAAACAATTCCAAAACAGACTCAACAGACCCTGACTTACCCTCAACAGCGTCCTTAGGACTAGATGTGTCTTGCAGAAGATCCTTATCAACTGTATGAACCAGATCTGGTACAACCAAGTCAGGATCTAGGATCTCATGGGTCCCGTTAGTGGACAGCCTGGAGGACCGTCTCCTGGAGAAGTCTTTGTCACTGTTTTCAGAGCAGTTTTTTGACTGTTCCTGGGCTATAAACCATTAAGAGAGTTGTAGTCCAGAGACCAACAGGAAGAGAGAATTTTGCTATTATGTATTTCTGGGTCACTTGCTTCTACAAAGACTTTCCTAAAAAGAAGCTTCTGAAATCTTAAGAGTAATATCCATTCCTAGTTTATAGGTTTAAGTAAAGGCAAAATTTCAGCCAGGAAAGAATTTTACATTGTTAAGGATTCATAACCAGAAACGATGTGCCCAGGCATATTCGAATCTCAACAGCAAGCTATATTTTGGAGTTTCCCAACATAAAAGGCTGTATGCTGACTTCCAAAGTCATTTAAGTTTTATAAGACCCTCATCTAAAGTCATCACAAATCCTTTTTGAAGCCAACATGTTTACTTTATAATCAATAAACAGTATTAGTGAAGTTTTTCTCAGCATATGAAATCCATCTCTTCCTGGGCCATTAGATTCTAGAGAATTAAAACCGCATGTATCTTATGAAAGTGAATACACTATTACTAAGCCCAACGCTATACAGGTTACAGTGCTTCTAAAAAACTGCTTACTCAACCACATCCAACTCATATTAGCTGATCTACATAAGGATGGCCATTAGAGCCCAGGAGGAATAGGGATCAGAGAGACACAAAGGTGACCCAAACAATGTCAGATTCTAGACATATATACACAAACTGGAGACTCACATGAAGTTTTGTCAAGTCGAGAACGTTTTAATGGGATGTCACCTCCTTTCGATATTTTCCGTCTTCTCAATTCCAATGTTATTGGTTGTAAAGTTTGAGAGTTTGAATCCACAGCTATAATATATAGAAAAACACACAAAAATATGTAACTTCTTGGTGCCAGCATGTGCATTTTATATACAAATTAAAACATATGATTATGTACATTATAAGTATGCATACAGAGAAAGAGAGAAGGACATGTTTATATTATACATGGACCCTCAAACAGAGTGAGATTCTATCTCAAAAAATAAAAATTATTGAACTTTCAAAAAGGATATTCTTATTAAGGTAAAGGACAAGACAGTCAAACGAATGAGAAACTTCTTCCTTGGGAAAATGGTGACACAGTCTGCAGACTGACCTTCTCAATCTCTTCTGAGGGTCTTCCTAGGACCTAGCACTCCAAAAATCTTGTTTTTATTTATTTTTGTATGTGTATGATTGCTTTACATTCATTTAAACCTATGTGTACAATGCCCACAGAGGCCAGAAGAGGTGCTGAATCCCCTGGAACTGGAGATACAGATGGTGGTTAGCCACCATGTGGGTGCTGGGAATTGAACCTGGGTCCTCTGCAAGAGCAGTCAGTGTTCTTAACTGCTTAACTAACTCTCCAGCTCCTAAAACTCTTTAATTAAAACCTCACATGCAAGGCAAAGGCAGGCAGATTTCTATGAGATCAAGGCCATTCTGGTCTACATAGTAAGTCCCAGGCCAGCTGGGGCTACAGAAGACCCTGTCTTCCCAAAAAAATATAGCTGGGCATGGTGGCACACCCCTTTAATCCCAGCGCTCAGGAGGCAGAGGCAGGAGGATCTCTGTGCATTCAAGGCCAGCCTGGTCTACAAAGCAAGTTCCAGGCCAGCTGGGGCTACAGAGAGACTCTGTCTCAAAAAAAGACCAAATAAATAAATAAATAAATAAACAAACAAACAAGCATACAAACAAACAAACAAAAAAATCTTCACATGCCACATTCCAGCATGACTTCTTAAAAATATGAAGGGCAATATAAAAGGTTTTTGTTTGTTTTTGAGACAGGATCTTGCCCAGGCTGAGACTTGTAATCTTCCTTCCTCAACCTCCTAAGTAGCTAGAACTGTAGGCATGCACCACTGCACATAGCTATTGCAATTTTGTTTTATTTGAGGGATAAGGGATGGGGAAAACTTGACAATGTAGTCTAGGCTGGCCACTATTAGTGGAAGATGACTGATCCTCTTGCCTCCACCTCCTGAATGCTGGTTATAGGCAAATGCTACTAACTAAGGCTCCTGGTCATACATGGTAGTACACACATTTTATCCCAGCACTCAGGAGGCAGAAGCAGGTGGATCTCTGAGTTCAAGGCCAGCCTGGTCTATAAAATAAGTTCTAGGCCAGCCGGGACTACAAGGAGACCCTATCTCAAAAAAAGAAAAAAAGATTCCTACAGTTGTTTTGGGGGGGGGGTTGTCAATTGGGAGAGTAAGACAAGAGTCTCAACATAGTCCAGTGCGGCACTGAATTCAGCTGAATAGCTAGCTATGTAGCCGAAGAGGACCCTGAACTGACTGCCCTATACCCACCTGCCAAGTGCTAGATCACCACCATAACCTGGCTTCTTTATCTTTTTGTTTATTGAGTCAGGGACTGTCTACATAGCCCATGCTGGCTGGTCTGAAATTTGCTATGTAGATCAAGCTAGCCTTGAACTAACTGATAGTGATCCTCCTGCTTTTGCCTACCAAGTGCTAGGGTTACAGGCTTACACCACCAGACCTCACTCCTCCAGCAATTAGATCTTTTCAAAACCTGATGACCTGTCTAAAAAAATAAAAATAAAAAAAAAAAAGAATTAAAACTAAAACAAGCCCTGATTGACCTAATACTTAGGAAATCTACCATGTATGCTAATTCTTAAAATGTGAATCACGAGCTGGGAGTACATGTCTTTGGTCCCAGCACTCAGAAGGCAGAGGCAGGGGGATCTCTATGAGTTCAAGGCCAGCCTAGTCTACATAGCCAGGCCAGCTGGGGCTACAAGGAGACCCTGTCTCAAAAAGACCAAAAAAAAAAAAGATAAACCCAGAAAACTCTCAGGAGACTATTGCTTACAGTCAGTGCTTCAGGCAAGGCTGTGGATCGCTAGCAAGTGTTGTTCTCACCTAAGTTATCAGTGCAGGTGCCAAGCTCTTGGAGAGCACTTTACTCTCTATTTTTAAGCTTACAACTTAAGACTCTCCCTCCAAATCTGAAAGATAAAAATACAAAAGAGACAGAAGAAAAAGAACTTGGGAGGCTTGGCAAGAAGGCAAGACTATGGCAACGACTGAGGACGGGAGGAAAAAGAAAGAAGAAAGAAGATAAAGGAGGATGAGAAGCAGATGGGAGGAAAAGGGAAAGAAAGAAAAGAGAGGGAAGACGAGATGAGCAGCTTCGGTTCTGCCATGCCAAAGGACTGAGCGAGAACCAGAGCCGTGCTGAGGCGGCAACCCGCATTCTCAGTTCTTGCTGTGCTCAGTCTTCCCAACATGTCAACATTATTCTGTTCCAAGTAGTGGAAACTTGGATCACACATGTTCCAAGCTAAACATAAACAAAAACAATCGTCTCTAAATAGCTCAGATTCTATTCCCAGTCAGAACTGTGCAATCTAGGGAGCTCAAGGATCTGCCATGTCAATGAACTAATTTCTTAAGGGGGTCTGAGTTATGCATGCAGTAGCAGACAAGCCCTCTTCCTTCTGATATCACATATAAACAAAGACCGACTATATAGAACTTCAGTGTTTCCCAAACTCTTCTTCCAAAAGAATCAACTGAAAAACTTATAATCACATTCCCAGGTCTCCATGCAGAGATGGTAACTGCAGAGGACTGAGACATAAGTACAATCTGTACAATCTTTTTTTTTTTTTTTTTAAACAAATGCTTCACTCAAGAGTTAACAGTAAACTTAGAGAACACCCTTTATTATATGTGTCCTATCTGGTCAGCAGTCTTACAAAACAAGAGCAATAAAGGAATTAAGGCAGAAGTGAAGCCATAGCTCCATGGGAAAGTTTGCGAACTAAGAACTTAAGGGTACAAGCTGGAGCAGAATAGCTAAGCTCAGCTGTGGACATCAGGTTGCTACCAGGCCACATTTTCCAGCTCTCTTTTCTTCTTGCCTAACTACCCTCTCCCACCATAGATAAATGTCTGCTTTTCCACCTAGGTATGTAGCTCAGTCTCACAGCATTTATCTGGTAAGAGCAAAGCCTTGGGTTCAATCCTCAGCACAGGGGAAGAAAAGAAAAAGGAAAGAAAAAAAGAAAAAAGTCTGCCTCTCACTCAGATCCCATCTTAATATGGCACACTATAATGGATGTTTAAAACCTCCAGACTGGCCGGGCATGGTGGCGCACGCCTTTGACAGCTGGGGCTACAGGGAGACCCTGTCTCAAAAAGACCAAAATTAAAAAAAAAAAACTCCACATTTTGCAACTGATTCCTCATCCTTCACCTGAACATAGGACACAAGGTTATTTTCTCAAACCCCTAAGAATGGTTGGTTTACAACTAATACCATTCTTGATACACAGAGGTCAGGTCATCACACGTCATGGAAGGGACATTAGGGTTTAATTCTCTTCCACAATGCTGCCCAACAGAAACACAATGACAAAGTCACATGTAATCTAAAAACTTTTAGTAATTCAATTAAAAAATTTAAAAATGAAGTTAATTTTAAGAATATGTTTAAATCAGCTGGGCATGGTGGCACACACCTGTAGTCCCAGCACTTGGGAGTCAGAGGCAGGCAGATCTCTCTGAGTTAAGGCCAGCTTGGATCTACATAGTGAATTCCAGGCTAGCTGGGGCTACAGGGAGACCGTTTAAAAAAAAAAAAAAAAAAAAAAAAAACCTAATAAACAATACACCTCAAAACATGTTGTCAATATTTAAAAAAATACTAGGGGAGGAGCAACTGAGGGCGTAGCTCAATGGTACAGCACTTTAAACTTTTCTATTTATTACTTTCATTTTATGTGTATGCGAGTATTGCCTGCATGTATGTAAGTGCACCCATGTTGTGCAATGCCTGTGGAGGACAGAAGAGGCCGTCAGATCCCCTAGAACTGGAGCTGGACAGTAGGTGGCTACCATGTGAGTGCTGGGATCTTCTGCAAGAACAGCCAGTGTTCTTAACCACTGAGCCATCTCTCCAGTCCCAGTACAGCATTTTTTTAAACACGGACAGGGCCCTGGGTTTGATCCCCGGCACTGCCAATTTAGAGAGAGGTTTGTTTTGTTTTGGTATGTATGCATGTGTATATGTGTACACTGTATGTAGATGCACACATGCCAAGACCAAAGAAGAACATCAGGTAACCTGTTCTATCACTCTTAGCCTATTCCTTTGAGACAGGGTCTGTAAAAGAACCTAGAGCTAGGATGGTAGTCAGCAAGTCTCAGCAATCCTCCTGTCTCCACCCCCACATAGTACTGAGATTACAGGTGTACGCCCACATCCGGCTGGGCTTTTTACATGGATGATGGGATCTGAACTCAGGTCCTTACGGGTTATTCAGCAAGTACTCTTAACCACAGAGCCATCTATCCAGCTCCCAGTTACTTTTTTAAATATTTTATTTATTATTTTTATTTTATGTGTTTGAGTATATTGCCTGCATGTTTAAGTGCACCCATGTCTTGCAGTGCCCCTGGAGGTCAGAAGAGGGCATCAGATCCCCTGGAACTGGAGTTACAAATCGCTGTTAGGCACCATGTGGGTGCTGGGAATCGAACCATGGTCCTCTGCAAGACCAGTCATCTCTCCAGCATTCTCAGTTATTTTTAAGACAGTGTCTCACTATATAGCCCATGCTGGCCTCAAACATGCCTCCCAAACGCTGGGATTACCTGGCTTATGCTCAGCTCTTGAAGGTAAAAGGGGGGGGGGAGCGTTTATTTCATCCGAAGGCAAATCAAGCTATTACCTAATTTACTATAAAATTAGTACTTGGATGTGAGAAATCGATCCATTAGGAATAAGTACTAAATATATTTTTGAAGTAAATTAAGGTAGTTTTTTTGTTTTCTATTAGGGATCAATGAATGAGCTGCTATTCCAGTTTTGACAAAAATATTTTATTTCAAATTTTATATTTTAAATTATCCATTTATACTACTGAAACTTGCTTTTTGAAAAATTATTTGTGGCCTAGGAACGCAGCTTAGCAGCAAAGCATTTACCTAGTATGTGCAAGGCTATGGGCCCAAGTCCCAGCACCACAATTTTAAAACAAATAATAAATATTGCTTGAAAATGTGACAGGGGTTCACAGCTGTTCAATGTTCCTGTAGAGAATATGCAAGCAAGAGATCTGAAGACCAATGAACAACATTGGTCATGAGCAGGTTCAGGCTAGGCATCCTGGGGACTCTTCATGCTACTCAATCAGTCTGAAGAATGAGTATTTGGCTATATTTGGCTTAGCAATGGTCAGGATTTGTTTCATTCTTGGTTATTCTGTCATTCTAGAAGAATTCCAAACTTATAATCCTCCCCCCTCCTTTTTTTTTTTTTTTTTTTGCTTTTTGAGGCAGTGTTTCATGCCTCACTCTAGCCCAGGCTGGTCTTGAGCTCATGGTGATCCTCCTACCTCAAGAACTTACATTTCTTTTAAATAACTGGGTATTATGTCCTAAATCTATACTTGGCCCTTGACTCTTATAAATTCAATTGGCCATGTTATCTTTTTTATTTAGACTGTGAAAATTTCTAGTCAATAATCATTTTTCAATATTTATTTTTATGAGGAGGAATGTTTTACCTGCATGTATATAAGAGCACTCATGTTGTGCAATGCCCACAGAGCCCAGAAGAGAGCATTGGACCCCCTGGAACTGGAGTTATAGACAGTTGTTAGGCCACCATGTTGGTGCTGGGAACTGAACCTGGGTCCTCTGGAAGAACATCCAGTGCTCTTAACAACTGAGCCATGTCTCTAGTCCTGGTCAATAGATCACCTTTAAAGAGGTCAATCTCTTTTGTGAACAGTCTCATCACGTAGCCCAGGCTAGTCTTGGACTAATTATCCTCCTTCCTGAAGCTCCCAAGTGCTAGGATCACAGGTATGAGCCACAATACCTGATAAGAGCTCAGTTTAAAAGGTACCCATGCCCTGCATAGCTCTAATGGTTTTAGGCCCTACCTTTCTCATTTATGTTTGGTTGGCTGGTTGTTGAACCCAGGGCTTCATGCAGGCTCAGAGAATGCTCGTTATCACTGATCTACCTCTCCAGCCCCTGCCTATTCTGTTTTCCATCTTTTCCTTTCCTCTTTCACATCTGCCCACTAAAATGCTACTTTCCTGATCCCAAATTACCTCAAATTGAGATCATTTGAACAGGCACAAGGAGAAGGTCTTAGATCCCTTGGCACTGTCATGGAAGATGAGGTAGCCAAGGACAGTTAACTCTACCCCAAAAGCTCAACTGTGGCCACGCTCCCCAACATGTCCATGTGGATACACGCCTCACTGAAATTCAGCTCCACAGGCAGGACTTGTTTTCAGATCACAAGTTAGTCACAAACACGAAGGACTGAAGTAAGGTACAAAGAACCGCAAAGGCCACAGAAGAACACTCTGGCATCACCCATTGCAGAGCCCACTTGGGAAACTCACCAGTAGGAGCTATGGAAGGGGGTCTGCCTCGTTTTCTTTTTGGCTGCTTCAGGTTCTCTTGTGGACTCTTCACAAGGTCATTTTCTGGCTTCTTCTCTACCTGGACATCTCCAGGGTATTCCCTGTCATTCTCTGAGATGTTCTCCTTATCTTCCTTCTCATTCTTGGGAAGGCTCTTCTCTGACACCTTGCCTTTTTCAGAACACATTAACTTTCCTTCTTTGGCAGGCTGTTTGGGCCGCTTTTCTGTCTTCAAGGCTTTGTCCTCTTTGTCTTTCTTCACGTTGACCGTGGCTTTTCTCTGCTCTTTAAACTTCTCTCGTTTCTCAGGAGATGATGAAAGACTTTTGTGATCTGTTTCTTTAGGCCTAGCATTACCCACAATATTCTAAAATGAGCAAAATAGCGATGAAACACTTTGTGATTACTTGCAATATAAAATTAGGAGGTTGTTTGCAAAGCTATGAAGCAAATGAAGACACTAAGAGGACACATGCCAGGTCACAAGATACAAAGCACCAGGAAAATACCTGAGCTTTGAGAACCAATCCTAAGCTTAAATATAATCGCCATGTTCAGTGCTTTCTGAGACTCAGCAAGCTCCCTCATGATGATGAGGAAGTCATAAAGGGACAGCCAGCTATCCAGGATGCCTGCCTGGAAGCCATCTAGCTGGCAGAAGTGTTCTAACTTCCTCACCTATAACACAATTCTACTGACCCACGGCTTTTCTGAGGTCTGTTTCTGTTTGCCAGTATAAGCTGATGCCTGGTTTTTGTGTAGAGGAAAACCAAACTGCTAAGTGTAAGCTTAACAGAAAGAACGCCAAAGTCAGACCGAAGTCCTGGCTTCCTCTTTTGGGTAAAGGCTGTGCTTGCTCCAGCAAGCTATCTATTATGTTCCTGAGCTGCTGAGCATTTTCTAAACTGAAAAGAAACACTGCTTCTAATTTGTTACTAAATTACTGTAAAATTCATCAAGTTGTCTAGTGTGACCATCTCATGATAAAGCCAACTCTGAAAGCTCTGCAATGTCTAAAACTGTAATTAGATTTATTTGTGTAAGTATCACTTTTCCAGGACCTCAAGAACAGAGGTGGGAGGAAACTTCATATGTTAATGTGGTACTCCCAGCACCTAGCACACACATACCAGGCACACAGACTTTTCTAGAAGCTGGAAAGAAATACCTAAATGCTCAGCAAATAAAAGTTAAATCTGTCAAGCTGGGCATGGTGGTGCACGCTTTTAATCCCAGCACTCAGGAGGCAGAGGCAGGTCAATCTCTGTGAGTTCAAGACCAGCCAGGTCTCCATAGCAAGTCTAGGCCAGCTGTGGCTACAAGGGAGACCCTGTCTCAAAAAGACCCCCCCACACACAAAAAAAAATGTTAAATCTGTCTCACAGGGAAAAATGATAAAACACTGAAACATTTTTTTCAAGGCCCAAAAATTATTCCAAAAAGAGCCAGATACTGGAGCTGGAGAGATGGCTCAGTGGTTAAGAGCACTGACTGCTCTGCAGAGGACCTGGGTTCAATTCCCAGAACCCACATGGCAGCTAACAACCACCTGTAATTCCAGTTCCAGGGGATATGACGCCTTCTTCTGACCTCCACAGCACTGCAGGACACGGGTGTACTTACACACATACAGGCAATACACTCATACACATAAAATAAAATATAAAATAAAATAATAAAAGAATATATAAAAACAAAAGAGCTCTAAGTTGCAGCCTCTCTTCTGGAAAGGGGTGTAAGGGCAGTTTGGGTCAAAAGACAAAGTTTTTATCTTTGTTTATTTTGAGAGGGTTTGGGGGGGGGGTATTTTATTTGGAGACAGGTCTCCCTGTAGCCCCAGTTGACATGGATTTCATATGTAGACCAGGCAGGCTGCAATCCTACAGAGATCCACCTGCCTCTGCCTCCCCACTGCTGGAATTAAATGCATGTGCCACTAAGCCTGGAAAGTTTATACTTTTTAATTAAAAATTAATTCTAAGAAATGGAATTTACTAACAGAAGAGTCAGACTTTGCAGTCAAACTTACAGATATCCTAATGCTCACTTGAAAATTAGTTATAAAGGGCTGGGTGTGGTGGCGCACGCCTTTAACCCTAGTACTCAGGAGGCAGAGGCAGGCGGATCTCTGTGAGTTCAAGGCCAGTCTGGTCTCCATAGAGAATCCAGGCCAGCTGGAACTGCAGGGAGACCCTGTCTCAAAAAGACCGGGAAAAAAAAAAAAAATTAGTTATATAGACTATGGCATAGCTACCAAAAACCAATACTTTCAGAGTACAAAGGGAAAATGTACATGAGAGACATACTTTAAGAGTACATTGGGAAAATGTTATTTTGTTAAGCAAAAAGAGCAAGTTATAGACAGTAAAATAACTTGACTCCAATTTTGTGTTTTGTTTTGTTTTTGGTCTTTTTGAAACAGGGTCTCCTTTTAGCCCCAGCTGGCCTGGAACTCACTATGTAGACCAGGCTGGCCAAACTTGACTCCAATTTTGGAAAGATCTATGTACACACAAAAGTATTTATATATAACACAACAATTACAAAAAAGAACGGTAGACACCAAAAGGTCAAAAACAAACATAAGTTCAAAAAATTAAATGTGCTGAGTATGGTTGCACATAACTTTAATCCCAGCACTCAGGAGGCAGAGGCAGGTGGATTTCTCTGATATTGAGGCCAGTCTGGCCTAGACTGCAAGTTCCAGGCCAGCCAGTGCTACACTGTGAGACGCCATCTCAAAAACAAAAACAACCTCCCCCAACAAAAAATGATCAAAATATCTACTAGATAGAGTAGTCCTACAGAAAAAAATTCAATCTATCCTAATACTGTATGAAAATAACTTTTAAACTATCCATGACAGTTATCTTTAGTCAAACCATGACAGCATCTTGAAAAGAACAAGTCTAGGAGCCACTGGCCTGTGCTGGTGACCTGCCAGGACTGAGGTAAGGTATGAGAATCAGAGGCAGCTGTAAGTAAAGCTCTCACAAGTCTTCAGTCAGTAAGGCCCCACCTCCAGGCCAAAGAAAAGTTCATCATTCAACTGGCTGACAGTGATGGCTCACACCTAGGAGCATCCAGGAACTGAGGCAGGAGATCACTGAGAGTCAGAGGATAGCCTGGCCCATACAGAGAGACCCTGTCCCAAAATACAATTTTTTTTTTTCAAAACTGAACTTTTATTATCTGGAGCCTGGGGGAGGGGCAGTGTCAGGATACAACCTACCAATTCTAAACAAGTTCACATTTCAGTCCCTTTATCTACATTAACTTACTCCACAAACTTCACCACAAAAATGCCCAATTTAAGGCCAAAATAACACTGAGGAGGACAGGAGTGGCTTCTTGGGAGACCTGGAGAGGCAGGCAAAGAGAAAGCAAGCATCATTAGGGCCAACGCCTTAGAACTCGGTCAAGAGGAACACCAGAAAAGTCAAAACATTCTTGAGGTGCCTTTAAAGTTACTGTCTCAGTCCTCAATGTATGTATGAAATTCGCTAAACTCTGTGTCAAGCACAAGTACTTGATCATCACAGGAAAAGACACACAAGGTACAGCATCACCACTGTTCTCATTAACTTCTACCCAGAGGGGAAGAACCAGTGAGGATGTCTCAGGAGTAAAGCCTTTCACTAACTTGCTTTAGCTATCTCACCAGCTAATACTAGTAACAATCAGAATTTTAAAACAAAACAAAAAACTAATATTCAAATTTTTACATATTGTTAATTTTATTTTTCGTGCATGTGCATGAGTTCTTTGCCTACATGCATGTAAGTGCACCATATACATACAGTGCCCTCAGAGGCCAGAAGAGGATGTTGGATCCCCTGGAACTCAAGTTCCAGACAGCTGTTAGCTACCATGTGGGTGCTAGGAACCAAACCCAGATCCTCTCTGTAGGAGCAGCCAGTGCTCTTAACCACTGAGCCATCTCTCCAGCCCTAATACCCAATCTTTCCAGCCCTAAAATCCAAAATTTGATCTCTACTTCTCCCTTCAACTACCTCATTAAAACATAAAAATGAAAGAGACTAATAGGGGAAGAAATCCTGAAGAAAGGAGCAATACTTCCAGGGGGCTTGGAACTGTGGGGCTGTATTTCTAGGATCAGAACTCTTAAGCTCTATGCTTAAGCAAGGTGAATGGAACACAGGGACATCTGGCTGTGTTCTGGACATCTCAACAGGCACATCTAGCTAAAGTGGTTACCAAGTTCTCGGCAAGAGACAGCTCTGTAAACCAACAAGCCACAATCACATCATGACCAAAGAAAAAGCTATGTCAGGAGAAAATGGGCTTCTCAAGGAAGTTAGGAAGTTCCCTGTGCTGGCTAACAGCTTTGGGGGCAGGGCAGAAGTAAAGGAGACAGGACAGTCAGGCACACACATGAGAAAAGATGAGCAAAACAGATAACAAGCAACGGTGTCCAAGTACTCAGCAGTTTTTAAATAGAGAATCCATGTTAAAAGGAAATGGCAAAGAAACACAAATATTTACAACTTCTGAAAACTTGTACATTACTTTCTGATGAAACTGTAAGATGGAGGAAATAAAGACTTGTCATAAACAAATGTAATGCCTTTATTTGAAAAACAAAAGTACAATGTTAGCATCATTTAGAACACAAAGCACAAAACCACATTTCTCACCTGATCTTTGGAAAAAGCTTTGACATGAATATGTTTGACAGTCTGAACTACGCCATCATAAAATTTCACAGTGTAAGTACCTAAAATTCAAGAAGATATCATGATTTTAACTCACTGTTTCATGAAAACAGCAACTTTTCAAGTACAAACACAAAGGAGGTCCAATAAACTTAAGCGCAAAAAAAGAATCACATTGAGGGGTGGGGATGTAGCAGAGTAGTAACATACCTATTTACATATACAAGACAGTCAATTCAATTCCCAGCACACACATGCAAAAAAGGTCAAATTTAGCTATCTTATGCCCAAGATAATAGTATGTTTCCCTCATTTCTTAGTAAAGATTAGTTTGCTTTTTATATATACATCTCAAAATCCACTAAAAAAAGCCCACACATATACATGTATGCTCTTTTATTAAAATAAGAAGTATGTGCACTGAATTTGAGCCAAGAAAGAAAGAGCAGTCAAACAATTAAGAGTTGAGGAAAATGAAATTTATTCATTCCTTGGTGAATGACATTTGTAATTTAATCTTTATTTTCTGTCTTGAAGGCAGCAATCATATTTTTTGGCGGTTGCATGAACCTTAAGAATCACGAGTTACCAATCTTGGTCTAAATATTAAACATTACCAGCCAATTTTCAAATAATTGGGTTGTGTCTGTTTGGTGCTGGAGACTGAACCTACGGCCTTGTGCATGCTAAACCCATGCTCTACCATTAAGCTATGCCCTCAACCCCTCAAATCTTACCTTCCCAAAGAGTATATCCAACTACAAAAATTCTCATTAGCTGCATCCAAACCAAAGCATTTTTACATCTTAGATCTAATCCATGTCCCACCTGCTCCTTTTGTCTTGGGGATTAAAAAAAAAAAAAATCACAATCAATCTTGTCAGGATTACCAGTAACAACTAATAATCATGTAATGGATTATCACTGGTACACACAATTTAGTTGTCACCAACTTTTAAAGTATAAACACAAAGGAGTTCCAACAAACAAAAACTTCTAATAGATGGGAACAAAAGCATGTCACAAGGGAGTTAAGACCTCTTGGCTAACTCCCTCCCCCACTCCCCAAGAAATGGGACTCAGCTACACTGACACGCTACCCCAAACTCCTGGGCTCAAGCAATCTTCCTGCCTCAGTCTCCAGCATCCTACCACATCTGATTTCTACCTCCTCCCTGTACATTCTCTTCCTACCTCTCCTTCAGTCCTAAACAGGGCTGGGTCAATAGCTAGTCTCCTCCCCTAAGAAAGTCCAAACACCTGCCTCTCGACTACAAAGTTCAACGAAATCTGCATGCAATTACTTTCCAAGCCTATTTCTCTATTTACCAAGATCAAACACTAGATCAAAATGACTCACTACATCTACCCACCGAAATGCCTGTAACATTTCCATCTTCCTTTTTAATTAAAAAAAAAAAAAATTGAGACTAGTTGAAAATATCAGCTGTACCTCTGGAGCTGGCTCTTCTCATGAGCTTTTTTTTTTTTTTTTTTTTTTTTTTTTTTTTTTTTTTTTTTTTTTTTTTTGAGACAGGTCTTCACTATCTAACTCAAGTTTGCCTGATATTATTACGTAACCCAGGCTGGCCTGGGAGTCAAAATAATCTTCCTACCTCAGCCTCCCGAGTGCTGTCATTACAGGCAGAGGCCACCATACCCAGCTCCATCTCCACAAGTGTTTTTTGTCTAGAATGTACCATTCAGTGAGCCTTAGGAGGCCAGCTCTAATGACTACATGACAGTTCTATAAAAACTTCGTGGTTCCCCAGCTACTGGAGGAGACCCTCTGCACTGAACTTCTAAAAGGCTCATTTGGCACCTGGCCTGCAGAGAGGTCTACCAGGAAGGAAGGATCCCAACCAAACAATGGTTCCTCGAATCAGAGACCATGTATCAACTTCTTCCTCACCCAGCACCAAGCTTACAACAGCCCAGTGGTACCCAGCCCAGCAGCACTTGCAACTATTGGGAAATATAGTTTACCAGCCCCACCCCAGATGATGAATGAGAAGCTTGGGGAATGGTTTAACAAGTCTTCCAGGTGATTCTGATGAACACCAACCAGCGAACCACTGCTGAAGGCAGCTACTGAGCTTTACTCCTGAAAATTACAAACAGGTGTCACCACCACAGTAGGAAACTGACTAGTATGCTAGATACTAGAACCTAGTGTCAGGCTTGGCAGAATAGAACAGCAGCTGGTAGATGGCAGGCCATGATAAAGGAAGCCCAAGGAAGCAGGTGGAACTATTCTCTACATAGACAACTCAATCACAACTTAAAGAGTTGTGACAACAAATGTCTGAGTTCTGTCTTCCCTACCTATTCTGTGAGGGTGCTGTGGTGCTGCTCCAGAATGCTCAGGAGAACCCCCAGCACCACCACCACCACCCCCCCCCCCGCCTTTTCTGGTGGTTGTTTGGGACAGTGTCTCTATAGCTCAAGTTGGTCTTAAACTTACCATGGGGCCAACACTGGCCTCAAATTCATGGATGATTCTCCTGCCTCAGCCTTACTAATACTGGGTTTATGGACATGGGCCACTATATCCAGCTTTTAAAGACTTCCCAAGAGCTCAGTTGGTAAAATAACTGCCCTGAAAACATAAGGATGAGAGTTCTAGGTCCAGCACCCATGTAGAAAAGCCAGGTGCAGCAGCACACCTGCAATCCCAGCACTGCATAGGTAGAGGCAGAAGAATCCCTGGGGCTTGCTGGCCAGCAGTGTAGAGTCACATCAGCAACTTCCAGGTTTAGTGAGAAACCCTATCTCTAAAAAAATAAAATAAAATAAGGTGGCAAACAATTGAGAAAGATGCCTGATGTCAATCTCTGCTCTCTCCTCACCCTCTAAACAACAATAAAGCAACCATTCATGGTATGCTGTATCTATGGCCATCTGGGGATGGAGGTGAGAAACAGGGAGAGTACCAAAGATCCAGCTCTTCAATCTTTAATATGCAGGGTGCTAGCAAACCATCCAGGACTATATTTTCAACTGCTTTAACAAAGGAAGTTCAGTTACACCGAAATGAAAATAGTAGTCAGGCATAGTGGAATGCACCTGTACTTGGGAGGCTGGGTCAGAGGGATTGCCTTGAATTCAAGATCTGCCTGGGCTATGGTGTGAGACTGTCTCTAAAGAAAAAGGGAAGGACTAGGCTGAACATGGTGGCACATGCCTTTAATCCCAGCACTTGGGAGGCAGACACAAGTAAATCTCTATGAGATCAAGGCCAGCCTGGTCTACATAGCAAGTTACAGTCCAGTTAGGGCTACAGGGAGATCCTATCTCAAACAAACAAGCTAATTATTTTTTTAGTTTGTTATTTTGTGGGTTTTTTTTTTTTTTTTTCTCCCGGAGATGAGGACTGAACCCAGCGCCTTGCACTTACTAGGCAAGCGCTCTACCACTGAGCTAAATCCCCAACCCCTAATTAATTATTTTTCAAAAAGAAAGGAAAAGGACTGGGAGTGATGGCTCATGCCTTTAATCTCAACACTTGGCAGGCAGAGGCAAGGCTCCTCTACATAATGAGTTCAGGGCAGCCAGAACTACTACATAGTAAGACCTTGTCTCAAAAAAAAAAGCAAAGGAGGGAGAGAGGGAGGGATAAAACTGCCAACTGCCATTTTTACAGACATTTCCAACCTCTAAAAGCATATTAAGTAGTAGTAGCCTGGACCATCATATTCAGCTGACTGGGGTTAATTTTGAGGCTAACTCTCCTTTTTTTAATATTTTATTTATCATTTTCATTTTATGTGTATGAGAGTACTGCCTGCATGTATGTAAGTGCATCTGTGTCATGCAATGCCCTCAGAGGTCAGAAGAGGGTACTGGATTCCCCTGGAACTGGAGTTCCAGATGGCTGTCAGCCACTATATGGATACTAGGAATTGAACCCAGGTCCTCTACAAGAGCAGCCAGTGCTCTTAACTGCTCAGTCATCTCTCCAACCCCAAGGCTAACTCTTTCTAATGGCAGGTTCCATAGTAAGTTCTAAGACAGAGCTAGAAACTAGGTATGATGCCTTATGTCTGTAATCCTCACCTCATTCCATGAGTTCCAGATCAGTCTGGAATATAGAGTAAGCCCTCGTCTTTAAAAAAAATAAATAAAAAGAAATCTAGGATAGCAGCAGAATTAGAACTTCAGCCTGCCTGCTGACCTCTGACCAGTTATTCTCTCACACTGCCTACTGCCCAAGCTCTGCTGCCTAAATTCAATCCACAGACCCAGAGAACCAACTGACCACTATGAAATGATTCAAACTCAGGCTAGAGATCCAAAGGCCCCTTTCCTAAATAGCAGTATCCAACTCCTGACCCAGTTTATAGCCAAAGAACTTCAAGCCATCTATCACTTGAAACTTCCATGCTTGCTCACACTAAACAAAGCCTAACCTGAGCTTAAATAATTCAGAAGGAACAATGGCATCACCCCACTTCTCATCCCCCTAAGCATTTTCTTCTGAACTATTTTACATACTGGCCATGGTTTCTGTAGTAGAAAATTTCAAAAACCATTGAAACTACTCAACCAGCTTTTTCTTTTTTGGACAGAGTCTCCCCCTAGCCCCAACTGGCCTGGAACTCACTATGTAGACCAGGCTGGCATTGAACACAAAGAGATTTGCCTGCCTCTGCCACCCAAGTGCTGGGACTTATAGGTGTGTGCCACCAAACCTGGCTTTAACCAGCATTCTTGTTTAAAATATACTTTATTATTTTTATTTATGTGAATGGGTGTTTTGCCTGCATGTAAGTGTACCATGTGTGTGCAATACCCACAGACACCAGAAGAGGGCATCAGATCCCCTGGAACCAGAGTCAGGGATGGTTGGTAGCTGCCATGTGGGTGTTAGGAATTGAACCCAGGTCCTCTGGAGAAACAGCAAGTACTCTTAACCTCTGGTCATCTCTCTAACCCCACCAGCATTCTTTTAAGACAGGGTCTCAGGGCTGGAGAGATGGCTCAATAGTTACGAGCACTGGTTATTCTTGTAGAAGACCCAGGTTTGAATCCCAGCACTGACTTGGCAGCTAACAAGCATTCA